GTTCCCAATATATATTACACTAATCTTATGTTTTGAAACAATGATTATGTTGACTGAAAACTTGAACATTGTAATGAAAGCATGAGATCAGTTTTGAAAGAATGACTAGCGATGTTACAAGTGTGATGAGTTTGGATTTTTGTACTAAAAGTTTTGAAAATATACACCTTACTTGTGAAAATAGTACCAAAGCGAATTAAAAAAAAACTGTATTACAGTGATATTAAACACATCAAAAATATTGTTGCAAAAAAGGTTAGGTGTAAGGTCAGGACTGTGTTTTCAAACAATAGATTGACTTTTTGGTCTAATAAAATGTTGCCAGATTTATATTTTTCGCATAAAACTGAACAAGCTTGAAGCGCCACTCACTGGACATTTTACTTTCAAGAATCAGCATAATGTCATTTTGCATCTGTGCCAACAATTGTGTATGCAGTGTTTGAAATGTACAGTATGTGGAAAATAATGTGTTTTTTTAACCTTAAACCGCATAAACACATTTCATTACACCAAATACACAAAATAATGTTCTTTTTAGCAACATCATATGACCCCTTTAAAAGAAATATGAACGACTGGTGAGATGAAGAGACTCTAACCAGAGCACTTCTGTAGGTATTAAAGTAAGCTGTGTATGTAGCCATCAGCAGTCTAAAGATCTGATTTTGTTTGGTAGGTGAGAGAGCTGTTGTCTCATAAGCTGTCATCGTGGCAGCAGTCATGTGCGCAGCCAACCAAGCTCCCGGAGCGAGCGCTGAGCCTGCTGCGTCACACCGCCCCCCAGAGCTCTGGAGGAGCCGGACTCGCCGAGGTCCTGCGCAACGCTAAACTGGGAATCACTCAACACGGAGAACAGGTTTATCAAATACATACTTGGGCATTTTCACTTTGTCACAATGCAAAAAAAAGACAGAATGGTGAACATAGTGAACATAATGGTCATAAAATAGGATTCATGTTTTTTATGTAAAATATACTCTAATTTCATTCATTTAATGAATGGCTGTGCTCAAAGTTGAATATCAAAGTGTTTTGTGTCTGTTAATCATGGATGTGTGGACACATCAATGTTTTTAGATTTGTGGAGTAAAAAATATTGGGTAACACTTTAGAATAGGGAACACTTGTTCACTATTAACTACGACTTTTCCCTCAATAAATTCCTAATCTGCTGCGTATTAATAGTTAGCAAGGTAGTTGTTAAGTTTAGGTATTGGGTAGGATTAGGGATGTAGAATAAGGCATTAATATGCGCTAATAAATGGCTAATGTTCTAGTAAAATTCATGCTAATAAGCAACTAGTTAAGAGACCCTAAAATAAAGTGTTACCAAATATTGTTTTCATTTTGAAGAAAAAAGCAAAAATTAGACTCAGGACTAGTGGCATGTTGTTACTTACTATTTAATTTGGGTTATTATTCAATAATTTCCTGATTTAAATGTACATTTCTTCGCTATTCATTAAAACCTATAGTGAATTAATTTAATCTGAATTTACAGTGTTGCTATTAAGACATATCTTAAGATTAAAATAAATTATTTTTAAATAAATGAAATATGTAAATATTGATATTCCTCTATATAAATCATATAATAAATTTACTTTTCAGATGAATCTCTTTCACTGAGATTCAGGATTGCTTTGTCTGTGATTAACTATTAAATTGTCAAAACACAATTTGAAATATAATAGTTGACTTGGTATTTTATATGAATGGCATTTTTATTTAATGTAATATAATATAATATACATACATTTCATTACTTTTATAACATTTATTACATGCTTTCAGTTTTTTTTTTTAGTTTGTCAGTTTTTTCTCTCATTTAGAACATGTGAAAATTTTGAGCAATTATTTTAGCATATTTTCCGCAATACATAAATAATTGTATAATGTATTGTTCTTTACTTTTCAAAATAGCGTTCTAAAAATAAAAAAGCACACCAAATACATGCAGCTGTATCATGCACTAAATTCTTCCAAAGTAAAATAAAATAATCTTGAGTACACACACACACACACTCACACACACACACACACACACCTGTGTGTGTGTATATACAGTGGGTACGGAAAGTATTCAGACCCCCTTAAATTTTTCACTCTTTGTTATATTGCAGCCATTTGCTAAAATCATTTAAGTTAATTTTTTTTCCTCATTAATGTACACACAGCACCCCATATTGACAGAAAAACACAGAATTGTTGACATTTTTGCAGATATATTAAAAAAGAAAAACTGAAATATAACATGGTCCTAAGTATTCAGACCCTCTGCTCAGTATTTAGTAGAAGCACCCTCTTGATCTAATACAGCCATGAGTCTTTTTGGGAAAGACTCTGCTGAGGAACTATTGAGCTTCAGCTCGGATCCACTGTTTCTCATCTTTCTCTTGAAAATATCCCATAGACTCCATATAGGCTTCAGGTCAGGCATGTTGGCTGGCCAATCAAGCACAGTAATATCATTGGAAGTGGTTTTGCACTGTGGGCAGGTGCTAAAGTCCTGCTGGAAAATGAAATCATCATCTCCATAAAGCTTGTCAACAGATGGAAGCATAAAGTGCTCCAAAATCTCCAGGTAGACGGCTGTATTGACTTTGGACTTGATAAAACACAATGGAGCAACACCAGCAGACGTCACGCACCCAAATCATCTCTGACTTCAGAAACTTCACACTGGACTTCAAGCAGCTTGGATGCTGTGCCTCTCCAGTCTTCCTCCAGACTTTGATTTCCAAATGAAATGCAAAATTTACTTTTACCTGAAAAGAGGACTTTGGAGCATTGAGCAACAGTCCAGTTGTTTTTCTCCTTAGCCCAGGTGAGATGCTTCTGACGTTTCAGAAGTGGCTTGGTAGCTCTTCTCCTGAAGACATCTGAGCGTGGAGACTCTCGATGCACTGACTCCAGCTTCAGTCCACTGCTTGTGAAGCTCTCCCAAGTGTTTGAATCGGCCTTGCTTGACAGTATTCTCAAACTTGCAGTCATCTCTGTTGCTGGTGCACCTTTTCCTACCCAATTTCTTCCTTCCAGTCAACTTTGCATTTAATATGCTTTGATACAGCACTCTGTGAACAGCCGCTCTTTCAGTAATGGCCTTCTGTGACTTACTCTCTTTGTGGAGGGTGTCAATGATTGTCTTCTGGACCATTGCCAAGTCTGCAGTCTTCCCCATTATTGTGTTTTCAAAGAACAAGAGATACCTGCAATTTATACTGTAGGTTTCATGAGCTGTAAGCTCTAATCATCAAAATTAAAACAAACAAAATAACAACTTTTGAACTGTTTTACTTTACATGTAATGAATCAAGAATATATGAAAGTTTTACAAGTTACAAAATATTAACTTTTTCACGATATTACAATTTTTTTGAGATGCACCTCAAAAAATGATACAATATGATATAACAAATCCACACAATTCAGTTCAATTCAAATGTTCAACCTAATTCTTTCCAAAACATGCTCAGCTGGATAAATCTTATGTAGTATTTTGTAGGACACAATTTTGTTATCAATAAAAAATTTGTATCACATTTTCCATGCGTTCTTTCAATCTATATTAATAAAGAAGACCAAAAAAAATAAAAAATCTTGCTGCAGAAAAAGCATTTCTTATAACATCAATGTTGAGTTCCCAAATAACCCCAATTAGATATAGAACTAATTCTCAGTTAGATGTAGAACTAATGGTGGTTGATTTGGGTCTGCTCTCTCAGAGGCTGTCTGTACAGGAAGTCCCGCCTCTGTTGAACGGTGACAGCAGCAGTCGTCCTCAGCAGCAGCAGTCTCACCAGAACCCCTCCAGTAATGGACACGCCCACTCCGGCTCTTCAGCCAGCCCCGCCCACTCCCAGCCAGCAGTGGGCGTGTCCGGGTGTCAGTCTCCTCCCACTGTTAGCCACACACCCAGCTCCGCCCACAGCACCCCTCTGTCCCGCGCGCTGTCCAGCTGTCCTGCTGCTCCCGATCTCTACTCCACCTCCACACTGCCACTGCCCAGGAGACAGTCCAGCGACACTCGCCAGGGACTCATGGGTGTGTGTGTGTGAGTGTGAGTGTGAGTGTGTGTGTGTGTGAGTTTGAGTGTGTGTGTCTGTGTGTGTGTG